GACTTGCCCAAGTCTTAAGGTACTGGTTTTTCAAGATCCTCCCTTGTCAGGAAAGAGAAAAAGCAAGTTAGTAAATTATGACAATACCACCTTGAATGAATTACAACAGCTGTATCAACAAAATACAGTAGAAACACAAAGGACAGAACTAATTTTGCCAAGGGCATATAAGAAGGTCTGATGAAGAAGTGGTTAATAATAGTAACAAAAATAATACTAACACATATCAAGGACTTACTACATGTTAAACAATATTCCAAGGACTTTATATATATATATATATATGTGTGTGTGTGTGTGTGTGTGTGTGTGTGTGTGTATAAATTCATTTTATCTTCCTAAATGATTATAAAAGAGATATTTTTTCCCATTTTACAGATGAGGATAAAGAGACACAGATGCTCAGTAACTTACCTGGGTCATATGCTACAAGATGCAGAGGTGACATTGGAACCTACACTCTTAATCACTATACAGAGGGAGAAGGGAAAGCATGTCCAGTCCCAAAGGCATGAAGGAGCCTGCCTAGTTGTGATAAGATCTTTCAAAGGTAATACTGCAGATTGTAGGGGAGAAAAAGAGTTTTGTACTCAAGGAGTGACCCAATGGAATATGGAAGCACTGAAGCACCATGACAGCATGGGTAAGACAAACTCCCACAGCTTTTCTAAGCATGAGCTGTGCATCCTTGGGCAAGTTACTTAACCTCTTTGTGTCTCAGCTTTCCTATCTGTAAATGGAAATAATAACTACCTCAGAGGGCTGTACTGAGGATTGTTATTATTTACAATATTAGAACATTGCCTGGCACAGAGTGCCGTAAAACTGTTTCCTAAAATAAGCAAACAGATAAATACTAAATGTGAAAGACTAAGTCTGTTGCAATATGCCAGATAAGAGATGATGAAGGCCTAACTAAATAGCAGCAGTAGAGATAAAAAAAAAAGGAGATCCAAATTAAAACTTTCTCAGGTAGAAGCAACAGCATTTGGTAGAGGCAGAGTAGTGGTGTGTGGTAGTACATAATTAGGGAGTCCCCAAGATGACTCTCACTTCTGACAGCAATTACAAGTTCAGAGGTCCCCAAGACCATCCTCAGGTTTGGTTTTTCACGAGGACACACAAAACTCACTGAAAGCTATTATATTTACAGTTATAGTTATGGTTTATTAGAGTAAAAGCATACAGACTTAAATCAGCCATGGGTAGAGACTCATGATGCTGAGTCCACAAAAATTCAAAGCATGAAGATTCCAGTTGTCCTCTCTAGTGGAATAATGGACAAGGCTAACTTTTCCGGGCAATGATGTGTGACAGTATGTATGGGAGTACTGCTAACCAGGGATGCTCATTAACGTCTTAGTATCCAGTTTTTATTGAGGCTTGGTCACATAGACATGATTGCCCACACAAGCTGACTTTTAGTCTCAAGTCTCTCTGGAAGTTGAGCTGATATCTGTGGTCCACAGCCCCCATCATAAATCACATTGTTAGATTATCACCTGTGGCCCAAGACACCAGGTAAACAAAAACACTCTTCTCAGGAAGGATATTACAAGGGCTCACAGATCACCTCCTAGGAGCTGAGGGCAAATGCCAGACCTATTTTTGAGTAAGGTTTGTTCTTTACTATAAAGGTAGTGGAGGTAGTAGAGGAGAAAGGAGGAAACCATATTGATAGTGATATCTTCAATTGAGATAAAATATGCAAGTAGCAAAGGCAACATAGGTTTGGAAGGGAAAAATAATATGCTTTTGAGTCTGCAAAGTATGACAACTAAGTGAAAACTGTTTGCTAGAAAACACTTAGAAATATGAAACTGTACCTTGGGAAGTACAGCACACCTGGAGAGCATATCGTTGGAAGCTTAAAGTCAAGCCGCATGAATGGGCTTACATAAAGGAGAGCATGTAGGCAACAAGTAGAGCAAACACTGAACTAGGGTAAACTCCTGTTTTAAAGGGCTGCTCTGGCCAGGCGCGGTGGCTCACGTCTGTAATCCTAGCATTCTGGGAGGTCGAGGCGGGTGAATCGCTCAAGGTCAGGAGTTCGAGAGCAGCCTGAGCAAGAGTGAGACCCCCATCTCTACTAAAAAATAGAAAGAAATGATCTGGACAACTAAAAATATATATATATAGAAAAAATTAGCCGGGCATGGTGGTGCATGCCTGTAGTCCCAGCTACTTGGGAGGCTGAGGCAGTAGAATTGCTTGAGCCCAAGAGTTTGAGGTTGCTGTGAGTTAGGCTGACACCACGGCACTCACTCTAGCCCGGGGAACAAAAGCGAGACGCTGTCTCAAAAAGAAAAAAAAGGGCTGCTCAGAGGATGACTTGGCAAGAAAGGTTATTCCAAAACAACAAAATTAAAATAAGTACTAAGTCTCCTCCACGACTATGGGAAACTAAAAATGTTGACTAAATTACTTTCTAGATATGAAAAAAAAAAAAAGCACTCACTTTCTCTGAAATAGCCTCCACAAGTTCAATATTGTGTCTTGCAAATAAACAGTTAAAAAACATAATATGTAATTCTGTTCTTATTTCCCCATGTCATCTCCCATGCTCAGACTGCTTTCTAAGCTGAGAAGCCTTTATTTTGTCTATGGCAAATTTAGCACGTTTATGCAAAACCTAAATTACCATAAAAACCCAACAAAAAGGTAGATAAAGCCAAAGGCATAGCTAATTAAATGGATTTGAGGTTCACTGTTCATTTAGGGTCAAATCAATAATTTATGTCCATCTGAGCACACTAAATAGAAAAATAACTCATTACAGAGTATTAGCCAGATTACTATAAAGTATATGGAAAAAACACTTCTTGAAATATAAATATTTTTTTTCTAAATCACATCCCAGGCATGAGAGGCAACACAGAAGGGTTAGCTGTGGGAGTTCTTGAGTCAGAGAACCTAGGCACAAGTTCCAGTTCTACTAACTAGCTGAGTGAACTTAGGCAAGTTACTTAAACTCTGTGCTGTATCAGGTGAAAAACAGGAAACAAACTTCACAGGTTTGTTCTAAGGATCATGCAAGTCACTACGACCTGGCACATAATAAGCATGTAATAAGTATTTTAGTAATTTGTATATTCTATTTGAGTACCTTTGCATATTGAAAGTCTCATAGATTTATTACATATTTTATTATTTAGTCCTTCTTCATTGTGATAGAATCTATTCATTTTAAAATATGGTTTTGAAATAAAAACCACAACTATAAACTGTGTTTCCACATTATAGTATTTATGAGTTTCTAAAACAGCTTAGTTGTCCTAAAATTATCTTAGAACTGTTAGGTCTTAGTCTGAAACCATGGGTTCATGGCGCACTCTTGGCCGAAGAATGACCAGACACGCCAAAGTTAGAAAAGCACGAAAATGAGGTTTATTAAGGAGAGAAAGATAGGATTATAGGGCAAAAGCAACATATAGGTTCACAGAGCATGGTACATATGCCACAGATGACAACCAGACCCAATGCCACAGTGGGGAAAGCAAAAAGAAGGGCAAAGAGAGAGGTTGGCTATGGTCTGTGTCCTATTTTATAGTGTCCAGATAGGAACCTCCCTTGTGGTTTGGAGGTCACCATAGAATCACTTTGATTAGACAGTTGGGAGCCACATGACCTGAGTCTCAACTATGCATGTGGGTTCTAGGTCACTTTCTGGACTTTATGGTACCATGTGGCTTGGCCTGTGGGCTAGAGAGTTCTTTGTATTCTTTTACAGCTGGCACACCAAGTGCTGATTGGCAGATTCGTAGGGTATTCCCTCCTTCCCCAGGTATGGAGAATTAGGGTGGGGCAGGACCAAGATGGGGGCAATAGCAACCACTTTCATCCTTAGGAGACCCAGAAACCCTCACTATCTACCTAACAGAACCATCTCAGACTTTATGATCTTTATTAGCCAAGACTTAATCTCTTTATTTTAAAAAATACTTAAAGCTGTCCTTTATAAAGAAGAAATGTTTATTGAGTTGATCCAAGAGAATAAGAAAACCATCTGAAAAATTATCATCTGGACCAAGTCCCAAATATTACCTGTAGCTATGTAACTTTTTTTCCTCTGAGCAAAATGCTTTTGCCCCTAACTTCATGAGCAATGCACCCACTTTCCTCAACCTAGAACATTTGGTTCCTTTCGCCAAAGTAACTCCCTACAAGTCACCGAGACCTGGTTTCTCCACAGGCCTTTGCTGGCACTTCAGGCTTTGTTAAATAAGACAAGGCCTACTTCTATTAAATGTAATACTTACAAATTAGCAATTTACATCCTCATAACCACACCTCTTTATTCTCCCCACATGAACACCAACTGGACTGCATAAAAAACAGATATGGGGACTATCTTGCTCTATGTATTCCAGGAGACATTATATACTGTGTGTCAGGCACCGAGTGTCAAGAACCCACACAGTAACATTCTGACCAACAGCAAAATTCATCCAATATATAAAATAAATTTCCCACTTCCATGCATTAAATGTTTGTTTTTATAATAAAGAACTTATGTGTGTGTACATATGTGTGCATGTGTTCAAAATATAGCCAGCCATAGAGAAGAAATATGGTTAGCAAATAAAGTATGACTTTAGCTAAGATAAAGCAGTGGTTTTAAAGATTTGTTGTATTATCTTCTAAATTTCAGAAAATAGTCAAATATCCCAAAAGTTTTAAGATTTTTCTGTTATAGTATAATTCATTTTGTCAAACTGCTGGGCATTCCTGTTTCAAGGATGAAAGCAATTACTCAAGGCAAGGGAATAACAATTTTCGCTATCATTACAAAGTTATCTTTCTTCCCTTGCCATCATCTTATGATTCAATTTATTTAACTATTTCTTAGTTCTTCCTTCTTATAGCCTCAGTAGGAAAGGGCAACAGGGTTTAGGTTCCTTTACTGGTTATTCTCTGGGCCTCTCTCCCCTGAAAGGTTATATTATAAACTTTACTTTCTCTGTACTATCATAAAGCTTCAAAAGATGAATTATACTAACCTTACTGTATTCCAGGCATCTCCAAGTTCTTTGGAATATTGTTTTTCAAAATGATCCAACACAACTTTGCAAATCTGTTTTGTAAGCTTCCCCTCTGATTTTCCTTTCAGCTATGATAATAAGAAAAAGTTGCTGACATACAGATATTATTATAAATTTGTTGAACTTCAACATCAGCACAGTCTTTATTTTTTTACTATAAGAACACTTTTTCGGAGAATTACTAGTTCTTGAAATAGGAGCAATACCTTACTTGTAATAAAATTGTATTACGATACGCTGCATACTTATGAAAAAGGAGGGTTTCTCCAAATGAGCATTGTCTAATGTGAAACAAAATGTAAGGCAGAATCTAGTGGTGCTAAGGAAACTGTGCCAAAAAGAACAAAATCAACTCTAAAAAGTTGCTGTAGACGTTAATATCAAGGGAAACTTAGTGAAAGGTATATAGGAACTCTACTCTCTTCCCAACCCTTCTGTAGACCTAAAATTATTCCATATAAAAGCTAATTTAAGAAAAAAATCACTGTAGTTTACTCTTGAAATTTCCTTGCAGTTGTTTCATTTATTCATTCAAGAAAAGTGCATCGAGGTCCTACTACGTAAGATTATGTTGTAAGCTCCCAGAACACAGCAATGACACACAAGACAAATTTTAGCCCTCGAGGAGCTAGAGGAAGTATTAGAAGTCTGCAAGCTGAGCTGAGGGGATGAGTAACCCGGACACGGAAGAGAGTCCTCGGGAGAAAACGCTAAAGAGCAAGCGTCAATGCACTGAGCATTATTCCAGGACTCGATAAAGAAGCCAGGGAAATCCAGATAACGCGAAGGGGCGGCCAAAGGTGAAGTTCCCCCATCCCGTTCCCCTCCTTCACCCCTCGGCCTCATAGAGAAGTATCTGGTTCATTCAGAGGAGCCCGGCCGGGCCCCAGGCCTCACCCGGGTCAGCAGCATCCTGCTTTGAACTTCCAAACTAGAGATCTATAAGAACTGGCACCCAAAAGCCTCCAGGGAACTGAAAGAACAGTTTGACTTCCGGGATCCGCCAAATTCCCCTTCCGTTCTCACTTTTCGGGTTCAAAGTCTCGCGAGGTTCTGCTTTGCTTGCGCTGTGGAAATCTCGCCAGAGGCGTAACTCCCGCGAGAGACACACGAGACGTTTTTCCGGATGCCTGAGGGAGGCGGGTATTTCCAAGCCCGCGGAGTCAGTGGACGAGGCTTTTGGAGCTGACTTTTGGGGCTGGGGCTGGTGGCTGGAGCATTGGGCGGCCGCAGCTTGGGCGCCGGCCGTATCTTAGAACTTCATACTTGGTGCTGAACTGTCTCAGTATATAGGGCTTGAAAAAAGAACAAGTCTTTGGGCTATGTTGTATGATTGTTTAAAATGTTCTCAAAAACATTTCTGAATAATAAACGTTTCTGAATAATCTACCGAATCTGATGACTCTCTTTGGCCCAGATAGTTAGTATTCAAGGATAAAAGGGTTAAATGTGAAATAAGTCACATGATTTGCCAGAACTGGCTCATGGGGATAATCTCTCCTCCTCCTAATGGGGAGTGTTACATGATCAAATTGAAATACACATGTAAAGCCCTTAGCACAGACACTAGCGAACAGTAAACGTCCAAATGTGAGCTGCCGCTATTTTCACTACCACGATCATTGCGATTATCATCTCTGCGATTATCATCATCACGTTCTGATACCAAACGCCTTAGGACTAACATGACTGTCCACACTAGCCTCCCATTCAACTTTACAATGAGCAATGTTAATGGTTCTTAGGAAGGTGTTTATTACACCCATTCTGATAAGAATAGTTGACTTAATCTCTTAGTGTTACTCTTTAGTAACTACCCCTTGTAGCAGCAATCAGCGGTTTATCACGCACACAAAAAAAATTCAGTGCTTAATATGGTCTCTGACATCCAATAAGCACCGTTTTGAGTTGGCCCTTGATGCTCAGAGTATCAGTATAGGTATATGCAATAAGCAAAAGACTTATAACCATGTAAAAATGTCTTTACCACTAATGTGATTTGAAACTTAATATATTTAAACAAGCTTCCCAATAATCTAAAAATGCATCTTATTAGAATTTATATTTGATGACAAAAGAAAATATGGTATTAAGGAGAGAAATGATGAAATGTATATTATCTGTTGGATGTTTGTGGAAAAATTAGTGTACCCATCAGCCTCTATACTTGGAAATTTTATAAATTTATTTTTCTATGGTCATTATAGAATGTTGCAATTAATGAATTAATACTGTAGTAGTATATTTGCAATGTGAACATGTAAAAGAATTTTAAGAAGGTAGTAAGAATTTATATTTCTGTGAGGGAAAGACTTTACTTGGAAAGAGGTCATATTAATTCTATAATATTGTTTTGTGACTATTAGCATATTTCTATTTTCTGATTTTAAATAAACATCTTCACTCATGAATTTTATCTCCATTTTTGATAATCTCCTTATAATTTCTAATTATGCCCTTAGTTTGGGTAGGTTTTCAAATCTTCCTACTTATTTCTTTTGTAGATTACCTGCTTATCCCCACTGATCTACAGGTGTCTTAATGCTATTTTGTTTATATTTATATTAGAGATGTTAACCATGTCACATTTTAAATACTTTCCCAATTTTTCTTACAACCATTTGACTTTAAATGTGAAAATATTTTAAACTTTTATGCATTATCAATTGAGTTTGTTATTGATTCCATTGCTTTTAGGCTTATAAATTTCATCCCACAGAGGAAAGCCATTTGTTTCTTTACCCCTTTTTTTAATAGTTGATCTTTTATACTTAACCTCTTAATTAATCTAGAATCAATATGTGTGTATCATGAGAATGTTAATGGATTTACTCCCTTACCCCCAACCCAAATAGCTACTGAAGAATAAACAAAGCTCTACATTGAGTTTTAGGAATAGAAACTGTTATTAATAGAAGTAGACTTGTTTGAAACCACTGCAGACATGAAATAAGAAATTGAGCTGAATACCAGAAATGACTTTTTTTTTTAATGATAGTGTTAAAGAACCAAACAACTTAATAAAGACTTAACCTGTAGGCACGAAATGAATTTTTACATACCGAAGCAATTTTATTGTAAAGTTGGTTGATCTAAGAAGTGTTTCAGAATAAGTACACTTCACAGACCATCTCCTAAACTAGCTATGTTTTAAGAATTTTCATAATTATATTAAAATGTCTCAAAACCCTTCATGATCATATAGAGGTTTATGTTGTAAAAAAGGTACAGGCTGGCTTTTTAGTAAAACAATCTGAAATCAAGAGAGCCCTTAGCTCTTTAAAGTATATGGCAGAAAAATACAATGGAGGAACCTGTGATCCAGAGAACACAGCATAGGTATAGCAATCCTGGGCTTAAGCTTCAGGTGAAGCTTGCATTTTATTAAAGTTTAGAGCTCCAAAGTGGTATGGACAAACTCTAGCAGACAATCGGCTGCAACTGGAAAGTAAATATAATGACTTCTATTTTTATTAAGTTTTGTCTAATCTTTTAAAATTAATTTTTAGGGGGGCAGATTTAAAAATGTACATAGTACAACAGAACAAGTATGTAACTGTTAGGGGCTGAAATCTGTCCCTCCAAAAGTCATGTTAAAGCCTTAACCCCCAGTACCTCAGAATGTGACTATATTTGGAGACAAGGCCTTTAAAGAGTTAAGTTATACAAAGTCATAAAAAGAGGAAAATTGAACACACTGAGAGACATCAGGGACATGTGTAGAGAGAAACGGCCATGTGAGGACACAGCAAAACAGTGGCTATTTTATAAGCCAAGGAGAGAGGCCTCAGGAGAAACAAAATCTATCAACACCTTGGGCTTAAGACTTCCAGCATCCAGAACTGTGAGAAAATATATTTCTGTTGTTTAAGCCACCCATTCTGTGGTATTTTGTTATGGCAGCCCTGGCAAACTAATAAAATAACTTAAATATAAATGTATATTAAAAATGTTTACTGACAGCAGGTATTATTATAAAAATTTGGAAACCACTGATTGACTTACCTAAGTCATAAATTCTGTGTCCTCATTGGCACATGGAGGAATTTACAACACAGGCCCTAAACAGGTAAATGATTTTTTTCCTATTTTCCCTTAAATTATAAGCTAATCCCCTTCATTAAAGGAAATTCATTTCTGATTTCTTACTTTTTCTTAAAAAAAAAGCCATCTATTATGCTGTTTCCACAAAGCTGAAAGAATACTGCTATTATACTTTGATAACCTATACCATATTTGTTGGAAATTTTGAAATATCTGAGTTTGTTTTTTGTATCAGCTGGAACATATTTCTTGATAGATTAAATAATCAGTATTAGTAGAATCTCAGTTGCAAAGCATATTCTACCAAAAGAAAAATTTAGAAATTAAAGCCAAGGCCAGGCGAGGTGGCTCACTCCTGTAATTCTAGCACTCTGGGAGGCCGAGGGGGGGAGAATTGCTCGGGAGTTCCAGATCAGCCTGAGCAAGAGCAAGGCCCCGTCTCTACTAAAAAAAAAATAAATAAAAAGAAATTAGCTGGACAACTAAAAATATGTAGAAAAAATTAGCCTGCCATGGTGGTGCATGCCTGTAGTCCCAGCTACTCGGGAGGCTGAGGCAGAAGGATTGCTTGAGCCCAGGAGTTTGAGGTTGCTGTGAGCTAGGCTGACGCCCCGGCACTCTAGCCTGGGCAATAGAGTGAGACTCTGCCTCACAAAAAAACAAAGAAATTAAAGCCAAGAAAGATAAAGTTTATAAGCTACAGCTGTATTTGTATAAACAGTTTCACTTTTGAACAGCTTTTGTCACCTGGAAGCATTTGATTTCTTTAGTTGGAATGGGAGAAACTGAGTAACATGAATAGAATGGCATACTGAACTAAGTATCAAATGAAAATATTGTCATAGTAAGAGAACACTTACTAAGAGATCACCTGCAAATACAATGGTGTATTCTATAGGTCAGCTGCTCTCGGCTATTCACAGGTTTTAGGTTTTACATATTAAGGGAATTCTAATCTTTCATTTGGCATTTATTAAATTTTTTTTTATTAATTTTTTTTTTTTTTTTTTTTTGAGACAGAGTCTCGCTCCGTTGCCCGGGCTAGAGTGCCGTGGCGTCAGCCTAGCTCACAGCAACCTCAAACTCCTGGGCTCAAGCAATCCTACTGCCTCAGCCTCCCGAGTAGCTGGGACTACAGGCATGCGCCACCACGCCCGGCTAATTTTTTTTTCTATATATTTTTAGCTGTCCAATTAATTTCTATTTTTTTTTGGTAGAGACAGGGGTCTCGCTCTTGCTCAGGCTGGTCTCAAACTCCTGAGCTTAAACGATCCGCCTGCCTAGGCCTTCCAGAGTGCTAAGATTACAGGAGTGAGCCACCGCGCCGGGCCTCATTTGGCATTTAAAAGAGCACTTAATTTTAAACTTGCAGAAAATATGGTACTTAATTTATACAAAATTATAAATTTGCTTCCCCATCATAAACATTGACCAAATTTTACAAAAATAGTTTGAAAAGTTGAAGAAAATATACAACCAATAACTCTAAAAAATTCACTGTTAGCATTTGGCAACATTTCTTTCTAGTGTTTCCATGCACAGTTTTATACTTGATATCAATTACATACAATATTGCATATATAGTATACACATATGCATTTTACACATAAAGGCATATGTGTCAAAGGATTATCTTTTAAATAAATAAAAACATCTGTGGACCAGGAGCTTTAATAAAAGACAGACATCAAATCATCTAGAATCATATAGTAAAATATTATTTTTAGTTGTGCTTAAAATCACAACATTCTTTCCTATATAAAAATTTGGATAAAAAAAAAAAACTTGGATGGAGAAAAAAGTTTTTCATGTAAAATAACAAAAATACATTATTTTAATCCACTGATTTAAATTGTTTTTCAAAAATCATATGAAAACATATCCATTTTATGACCCAAACAAAATCATTTCAATGCACCAAATGAAAAGAGAAATGAGATATTAGCATAAATTATTTTTATTGTGTGAAAATGTCATAATTCATGATGATTAAAAATGTAGCATATAGCAAAATAGGTATTTGTTAAAATCTACCTGGATTTACAGAACATGTTTTAAAGTATTTTAGAATGCTTTAAAAATACAAATTAAATTTTTTGAGAGAGCTATATAAAACACTAATTCCATTTTATAATATATTTATTTTCAAAATCATTTTTATTTGTTTTTATTAAATGGAGTCAGTAAATACACTACAGTAAACACTGATAGGAAACACAAATTTTAAAAACATGTAGAGTCTCAAACTAGATAAATATTAAAAAGATGGCAAAAATATGAGTTTTATTTAGAAATTGAATAAATGTAAATATTACAAAAGGAACCAAAAAGTTGTTCAGCTTTCCATCCAAAATCCAATACAACATTTACACATTGTCATCTTGTGTTGCTTTTCATCACATTTCAGCCACCTATCAAATTTACGTTGCTGTGAATTTTATAGCTGAAGTAGAATGCTTTTTACTCCCTCAGTGTGGTAGGTAGGTCCCATGTACAAACTCCAGCAAATTATACGATGCTGACTAGAGGAATAAGTGACCTGATTAATGAAAGTTCAGTGAGTTAAAAAATGAGAATATAATGCTCTGAAATAAAATTTTAAAAGTAAATAATCATAGTAAACTGCATTAAATGTACTTCTTAATGTTATTATCAGATACCAGTCTGTGTCTATTGTCAGTACAAGTTACCAGAAGCACCAATCTTAACAATATAGAAATCATTCCATTTATAGAGTTTTCACCTTGATATAAAGATGTTTTCAATTAAATGCAACATTATGAATCTATTATTCCAAATATAAATCTGAAAGTTTGTCTAAATGCCAGGTGAATAGAGAATCCATCCTATGGATGCCATTCTTAAGTGCAAGAGAAGTGTTATCCTTCTAAATTGAGAAACTATTTTGGAATTATTTCTTTACAAAAGTAATTCTAAACCAATATTTTTACTCTTATTGCTTTAGTCAAGCTATTTCCCAGTTGTAAAACACAAGTCTTTGGACCTGCAGTAGCTTTTTAATCTTTTTGCCTTTAATTTCAAGGCATGAAAGAATTATAATAACCTAAAAGAGTCACTGCAGCTTCTGACAGAACAAAGGAGAACCTTGATCTCTGAAGGTATCTAACCTTTAAAATATGGGTTTATTAAAACTTTTAATAATATCTCACAGAACATATTTTGATCAATTTAAAAAGCATTTAGGTAAAGATGGTATTTCAAGTCTCTTTCATTTATTAAGATCATCACCAAAGAAAACAAACAACAACAACAACAAAATGAACTTTCTCCTTGGGTATTGCTTTCAAATCACATAACATGTTAGAATAAAGATCTGAGAATCTACTATTTTAAAAAGGTATTATTTTTAAATTAGGACAAATTGGGACATACACTTCAAGAACAATGTTATTAAAAAACATACCTGAAGTCATATAAATATATACTGTTTTTATAGTTCATGTCTATCAAGTAAATCAACTCTACTTTCCAGACACAATTTAAACAAAGCATCTATAGAAAAGTGCACGATCAATATCATAGTAATTAAAATTCTTAAAAGTTTTAGAAAAATATAAAAATAGTTAAAAATTTAGTTTATAAATTCCCAGAAGTTCCCCTTCCATGTGCATGTATTTTACAAAAAATGTTTAATATACAGAAATACAGACTATTAAAACAAATAGTAAAGAAAAGTATACAAATAGTAAAGAAAAGAGTCCATTGGCTCTTTCTCTGAAGAAGTTTTCCTTCAGGAATACGCTCATGAGTGGGGATGTGCACAACAAAGAGACAACACTAAATCTTTCTAACTTCATCCAAATGCTCATCCCATCTACTGGCCATTTTGCTTTCTTTCTTTTTTAACTGTGAAGAACATGGGTAATTATCAAGTGAGATCCTTAACTATTAACCTCCTCACTGAAATCACTATCGTTATCTTGCCCCAGTCAACAATGTTCAGAGTTTTCCTTCTTTTGAGAAAAAAGAACGTCCCAGTTCACCTTGCTGATATTAAGAGAGCTCATCCACATGACTTGGCTATGAGATCACATCATGAGTGTCACTGTTGGGTCTCTGTCGCACAGCCAGGGGAGGCAGCGGCTTCCCATAGAAATCTACATAAAGAAAGGAAACCAAAAGCATAAAACAGTTATGGTAAATCAAGATTTTTAACACAGTTCATTATTGTCCAACCAACACCTTTAAAAAAAGTAAGACATTCTAACTTAGCAGGTGAGGCTATGGGTGGGAAAGATAGAAAAAAAATCAGAATCCAAGAAAACTTTAACAAATTCAAAACATAATCACTAGGGTAAATTCCTAAGTAAATTAGAAATTAATCTCTACTTGACTTAATAAAAGGCTGCACCTAATGGATATATTTATTATTATTTTTGTTTTCAGTTACACATTCATACTAGAACAGAACAAATATAAAATATGGAACCTGTTGCTAACGTCCTGTTCTTATCCAGTGGCTGTTACTTTTAGGTATTTTAGGAGAATCATTCATTAATTATTACTGTGTTCTTATAAGTTGCAATCTTTTACAATAATGCTTCAATATAGTTCAGTGATTTGGAGAATACTTTATTTTTTAAAAAGTCTTATTTTGTCCTTCATAATAAATTTCTATTCCTTAATTATCATAAATTGGCTTATAAATTATTATTTTTTTTAAAAAAAGCTCTGTTGCCTGGGCTAGGGTTCAATAGTGTGATCATAGCTCATTGCAGCCTCAAACTGGTGGGCTCAAGGAATCCTTTTGCCTCAGCCTCTCGAGTAGCTGGGACTACAGGTGTGTGCCACGACACCCAGCTAATTTTTCTATTTTTTGTAGAGCTGCAGTCTCACTCTTGCTCAGGCTGGTCTCCAACATCAGGCCTCAAGCAATTTTCCCACCTTGGCCTCCCAAAGTGCTAGAATTACAGGCATGAGCCACCACACCCGGCTAGCTTATAAATTTAATGGCATATGTAAACCTTCAGTAAGTGCTTACTTTCTGGTCTGTCACCTTAAAATTATTCTAGAAGCGTAGGTGTTCAGGATCATTTAAAATAAATATATTAAAAATCTGTTAGGGGAAAATGATTTTTAAAACAACTATCGATTCAAAGCAACTACTAAGCTGCAAGGATAGCCTAACAAATCTTGCTATAAGATAATGCTATATCAGAATGAATTAAAGGTATGGGTTTCAAAGCTAGACAGACCTAACTTCAAATTCTGATTCTGCCACTTAATAGCTATATGGCCTTAGGGTATAGGTTTCTCACACACAAAATGAGGATATTGTTGCCCATCTCATAAGGTTATTTGGGAGAATTAAAATGACGTAAATACCTAGTGATTAGCAATGTGCCAGGCACATGATATATGCAGTTGTTATTATAATTAAAATGATAAGAGATACTCAATTATTTTGATAAATTTAAAGTATACTCTAATTTCTTGAATTCAAAATTAATAGAATTTTAATACAGAACTCACAATTAAACTAATGCAAATGCTTACTAATAGGTTTTACTTTTACAATTTAAAAATATCTTTTTTAAAAGATAAATAAATATACATGCAAGAAATCTCTTCTTCCCTTCCAGGAAATTAGTTTACTTCTGTAGTTGATTTTGTTCTATTTCTTAGGCAGAAAATCAAATCATTCTATACAAATCAGGTTTCTTACTACCTTAATTGTAGAGGATACAAGTCAATCTTAGGAGCCAGCTAAAATGACCAACTTAATGGCCAACACACATTTTTATAAAGGGTTTCAAATTTTTTAACATGAAAATTAAAGAGCAGTAAAACTACACACAAATTTTATTTTCCTTCATAATTTTAATATTCTTTAGTTTGTGCACTTGGTAGTTTTTACCAACAGAATCTTTGATTCATTTCTCACAATGTGTAATACATAATACACAACATTGACAAAGTACAGATTGAGAGTATTTACAAGCGAATATAGATTCTCTTTTTAAGTCTCTTCTCCAAATACATCTGTCTTACCTGTTACACTGAGCAAGCTTTGCAAACAATAAAGCAATTAGAAATGTAGAATCAAATTGCTACTAAGGCAAATGTCTATAATCAAAGTACAAGTAAGTCTCTGCCTTATAAATTCACAATCTGACTATAACAAATTGTTTTTCAACTCAGAAAATTTTAAGCTAAACCAAATGCAATCAGTTTTTAATTACTTACTCTAGTTCATCATATATGTGTTGTCTACTTGCCATCAAACTTATATCAATATGCTTCTGAATATAAATGCAAAGAAATATGCACAAAGTAAGGAAAAGAAGAGGATACAATTATGTAATTGGTACCTATTAGTATCTCAGATGAAAATCTCATGACAATCCCTAAAAATTACTTAATGTAAGCTTTTTGTACTAAAATTTTACATGTATTATACCTGCTTTCTTCTCCAATTAATGAAAGCAGAGTTGACTGTACATTTTTTAACGCAGGTTAGGTATACTTTGACTTAGAATTTATTAGAAAAAATAATAAAAATATTTTAAAACTTGTGAAGTTATAGTGTTTGCTCTGGGAAGCTAAAGTTTGATACATACTTAAAATTAACTGAAATATTAGAATATAATGGTCTTAAACTGAACTAATTTACTGTAATTCTTTCCCAGGAGTTCTAATTTAAAAACAAACACAGAAAGGAAAAAAATTTTTTTAAAAAAACTTCTCAAACCATTTTCAACTTCTTTGTCCATTTACTCTTAACTGTGATGTTCCCCCCTGAATGCTACCATCAGTTATTTTGTTCTTACTTCTTACTCTGAGTACCACAACCTCCTAACTGGGATTCTTACTGAAGGTGTAGCCACCATCAAGTCTGACTTTACATTGTGACAAAATTTTTTTTCTAAACAGCAAATCTAACAACACTATTTTCCCTTTTAAAAATGAATAGTATCTCTTAAAAAATTATAGCAAGTCTAGACACCTTAGCATACATATGAAGCCTTCACAATCTGACACTAAGCCTTAAATCTACTTTCAATACTCTCTATAATTTAAAAATTTCTCTTTCTTATCCACTCTATGCACATGAACCTAAGCTCCAGACACAGGTAACTTCATGCTATTCTTTGAACAAACAATATTCTTGGCCCAGGCACGGTGGCTCACACCTGTAATCCTAGCACTCTGGGAGGCCGAAGCGGGCGGATCGTTTTAGCTCAGGAGTTTGAGACCAGCCTGAGCAAGACCGAGACCCCGTCTCTACTAAAAACAGAAAGAAATTAGCTGGACAACTAAAAATACATAGAAAAAATTAGCCGGGCATGGTGGCGCATGCCTGTAGTCCCAGCTACTCGGGAGGCTGAGGCAAGATTGCCTGAGCCCAGGAGTTTGAGGTTGCCTCCCAGAGTGCTAGGATTACAGGTGTGAGCCACCGTGCCCCACCCAAAGATCCAGTTCTAATGCCACCTTCCCTAACTGCTCATGCAGCTTATGCACAGTACTCCAATTGTACGCCATAGAACTTACTGTCCTGTATACTATAGTAAGCTGAAGTATTATCTTCTGTATTACATTAGGACCTCCATGAAGGCAGAATGTGTATCTTATTCATCTTATTACCAATGTTTTAGACACTGCTAATTACAAAATAGTTGCTTATTGAATGACAAGGTCAGTAAGAGAAAAAAATCTGTCATATTAAAAATATTTTTTCTATATATGTATATGTGAGTATATATAAAGACACAATAACATTACCTAGTTTTTTCTAATGCAGTGAATATTTAAATTGACAATGTATTCTAATGTACACAAATTCACTAAGAGTTAACAGGAACTAATCTACTATAGTTAATATAAACATCATGATGTAAAGTCAGTAAACCAGAAATATGTGATTCCACTGGAAATAACACTTCAGTAATTCTGATATAATAAGGACAAACTTTTCTGCCTTTAGAAATGTAAAAAAAAATCAGATAATTTTCACTAATGATTATAAAGAAATATTTTATTACTGATCTACAGCATTCTGAAAACAAAAGCAAATAGCATATTTATATTTATGTACTTTTTGAATGAAAATATTTTATATAGTTTGATATGATTTCAAATTAGATGGTAATGCTTTTCCAAAGATTAAGTTTCTTTTTTCCTAGTAAGTGATTTCCTTAGGAAACCAAGTTCTAAATTACATAAACACAGAGCCATCAAAAAAGGAATTGAAAGACAGGTGGGGTGGCGCAGGCGAAAGGATTGTTTGAGGCCAGGAGTTCAAAGCTAGCCTTTGCAACACAGTAAGACCCTGTCTCTACAAAAAATTGAAAAATTAGCTAGGCATGGTTGCCCCTGCCTATAGTCCTAGCTACTTGGGAGGCTGAGGCAGGAGGATTACTTGAGCCCAGGATTTCGAGGTTACAGTGAGCTATGATTATGCAACTGTATTCCACCCTGGGCAATAAAGCAAGATCTTGTCTCCAAAAAAAAAAAAAAAAAAAAACACGGAATTCAATGCTCTCAGTGGACAAGTTTACTGAGCTACAATTCTATGTAATTATTATTCTTTTGCATTCTAGAAATATTTTATGGAAACGACTTAGACTGATGGTCTGTAATCACAACTACTGCCTGTTTTAGAAAGCAGTTGTCTACTATTTCTAACTGTCCTTTCTCTAGTTTTTGCCTCCTGGAGTTCTAATGCCATAAACTAGCTGGACTATAGCTTATGTTAATTTTATTCAAAGTTGTTCTCTTAACAAAGCCTTTAGTAACTTTCTTTCTGTTTAGCCAAACTTTATTTGGGTTACTGATTTCAGCTCTGATTTTACAAATTTTGTTGATCTTTATTTCATTTTAATATTTAGCAGCTGTGTGTCTTAGGAATAGAGGGAGAAAAAATATGTAGCATTATCATTGAGCACATTGAGCATATATAGGACACTGCAGTTTTTTGACACTGTAAGTATAATTGTCTCATATTTAAATTGTTTTACAACATTTCCTTTTCACAATTACTTGTATAAATGTATCATACATAAACACAAGCTATGATTCTTCTTACCTGTATTCTAAGGTAAACATCAAATCAAATTATATAGAGGTAAAAGCCCACTTAAGAATAAAAAAATTAAAAAAAATTAAAAATGAAGTATAATAAAAAAGGATGGCTAAAGATTTGAAAGGTTTCCAAAAATAAAATATAAGTTTGTTGAAGTTATGAGGTAAAGAAAAGTGGATGTAATATGTACACATGATATTTGAAAACCGATCCTTTTGCATTACCATTATGACGTGTTTCACCAAGAGGCTCAAGTTTTGGAAGTCTAGTGACTTTGGGGGTTCCCCAGCCAACTAAAGAAAAAGAAAAACATTTAAAAACACTGTTAAACAATGTCACTTTAGGTCTTGTTGAGAGGATCCCTCCCTTGACAGGAAGTGTACATAACACTCAATGTCAACTCAAATATACTGAATGACTAAGTACTATATAGCCACAAACTCATTTTAAATCAGTTTTACTTAAAAATGTAATTATAGGCTGTTAACATCTGCTTTAAGTTTTCATTTACATTTAATTAAAAATATAAGAAGCTTTACTACCATCATAAATAAGCTTAGGATACCATTCTCACCCCTAGCAGAGGCTAAATGTGTTCTTAATAAACGGAATACTAGAAATGAGACTTTAAAAATTTCTTAAAGGAAAATGTTACCATCTAAAGTCTTGTAAGCAGGGCTACTACAAAGACATTATAAACATATTTACCTGGTCATCAGATATTTATTGAGCACCTATAGTACGTGAATATGCTTAGTGCTGAAAAGTTATAATTATTGTGCAGGTATGTCACAGTATTTTACATGATTTACTCCATTTAATCCTCTTAACAACTTAGGAGGTGGGTATGTATGCTGGAAATATATTAGAAATATTAATATATCTTGGGTTTAAACCCAAGAACTTTCAGGATCAAAGGTCTAATTTTTTAAGAGCTCACATTAACCATCCATCCATGAAACTTATATTCCTACTAGTAATCTGGGTACTGATATTTCAGATAGAACTTGAACATATTCTAGGAAGGACTGAGTAAGGTTTTCTTAATAGTTTTTAATTTTTTTTTACTTTTATAAAACATTTCTTTCTCATTAAGAAAAGAAAAAGATATTAATATTGACAAGAACAAATTACAGTGAAGAACTCTTTTACACAAATTCATAATAAATATACTGCATAAAAACTACACAATTTCTTTTTCCTTTTTTCTCCCTTGTGTAAAGTAGCATTTGTAAATTCAGTATCAATATCAATTTACTTACTAGGAGGAGGAGGTGGGGGTGGTGTTGGACTCTTAGGATCAGAGTCATCTGTATTAATTGGCTCTACCCGGTGACTCCTTTTCATTCTTAGTTTCTTAGTTTTCTTTTTACCGTTATCTATAAGAATATAAACATGAAATGTTATACCTTTGGAAAAAGGTGAGCTTCTATAATAGAAAACAAAGAATAAAACAAGAATATTGATATTATTAACATAAAAACATCTTCTGTTCAACTTTGGAAATTGTTACCAATGACCAAATATGAACTCGCATTTACTAAGGATAAATTTTTTTAAGTGACGGCTTATTGAATAAGTGATTAATGAATATGACAAAAACAGCCAAAAGTCTGTATATTAAGTTCTAAGAGAAATTTTTCAGAATACAAAAAAAGTTCACATTTCCAAAAGCAACTTATATTTCTCCCAAATTTCATATGAAACAAATATAATTGTCTAATTGCAGGAGTTTCCATGAAACTCAGAATGGCCTGAGAAAAGAGGAAAGTTGTTGATTTTTCTCAGTGGGATAAGTAGAATAATTCTGGGTATAAATAGTCCAAAAATAATCTTTTGAAATGTTAAAAAAAAAAAGACCCTAATTAAACCTAAACACACTATTCATTAAAATAATCCCTAAATAAGGTATGCCCAATACAAGTTTATGTGATCAAAATCACATTAGGAGATCTAGCATAATTGAATTTGTTTTCTTTCAAAATAAAATTATTTGCAGATCCTCACTCAAGCATATATAAACATTTTAAGGGTATCTATGTTAATATGTAAATTTGAACAAGGTAAACCAGGATGACATATTATATAACCAAATTTAGAACATCAAAGTTACTGACAATTACAAATTGCTAAATTTATATATGTGTAATATATTTTCTAAAATAAGAATTATCTGCAACAAAAAATATCTAATATCTGTGAAGCCTACAGAGTAATAAAAAATGAAAATATATTTAGAAACAAATTATTTTTCTAATAAATTAGTGTCACTTCAGACATTTCACTTCCAATAGAAACAAAGAAATCTTTTTACAATTAAAGCAGCAAGCTTTACAACTGGAAGAATAGAAAGAGAGCTCCAGAACCACATGATACTTCATGATGCGCAGTAGCTTAGGGTCATGGGGATGTGGAACATGATCTGGACTGGGGTCTCAGTCTACCACAAATGAGATGTATGATCATAAATAAGTTACTCAACTTCTTCAAGTGGCTGGTTTCCTCATTTATGTAACAGGAATAATATACTCCAGGATTGCTTTGTTAAATAGCAAAATGCTATGTTCAATAATATAATTTAATGCATCTGAAGGCATGTTTTAACGTATAAAGTACAATATTAGTTATTTTTATAGTTATATGATTTACTATCTTAGATCTCCCTGTGCTATATTTTCAAATCATTTTCCAAATCATTTTGCTCTTTAAAATATAATATTTTAGGGCTGGGCGCAATGGCTCATGCCTGTAATCCTAGCACTTTGGGAGGCCAAGGCAGGAGGATCACTTGAGGCCAGGAGTTCAAGACCAGCCTGAGCACAAGTGAAACCCCATCTCTACTAAAAATAGAAAAATTAGCCAGGTGTGGTAGCATGCACCTGTAGTCCAAGCTACTTTGGAGGCTGATGCAGGAAGATCACTTGAGCCCAGGAGTTTGAGGTTGCAGTGAGCTATGATGACCCCACTGCTAGAGTCCTTTTTAAAAACTGAGAGACCGCAGTAATAAGTCTTTTTAACTCTGTTGACATAATTATATGGGTATGGCTAAGACTGCTCTAACTTTCCAACTGTCAAAAATTATAACTTTCAAATCTAATATTTTCAAAATCTCCATGTTAGCTAATCTGTACCTCAAGGATTGAAATCTTATTTTCATAAACCCTATGATACTATAAAAAATTCTTATATATAATAAAGGCATATCACTAACTAAGAATGGCAAGGAAGTAACAATTATTGGGCATCACCCACGTGGCAGATCCGGCTAGGAGTGCTGCGGAGTTATTTTATAGATAACCCTAAAACCCCGTAAATAAAGATTGTTTTTCCCCATTGTAGAGATGAACAAATTAAGACTGAAGAATGCTATATTACTTAACATATATCTAGTAGATGAGAGAGTCAGGATTCTATCACAGGTTGTCTGATTCCAAACACAGGCTGACTCTCTATGACAGCAATAGACATGAATGTTCTACTAAATCACATAACCAGTTAGGAGGGGAAAAAAGCAATTATGAGTTGAAGATTTTGTATGATATTAAAATAAGAGGAAATTGGCTATTTGATAAGACTTTCAATAAATGTTCTACTGGTTATGTTTGCATCCTATAGAAACAGCCAGTCAATAAAAGAAATGATCCTGATTTTAGCATTATGAGGCTTAAAAAACAAACAAATAAAAAAAAAAAGCCTTAAAGATGTTAAATATATTCCAAGGATTCTTGAGGGCTATGCTGTATTCCAAATTTATGAAAATAAAATTTAAAATTGAATCTTCTGCTGAAATCTTTATAAGTAACAAAGGACCACATTTTAAGTCATAATGGAAAAAATATGTTAGGAGCAAACTGGCAAATAAGTAATTAAGAACCTGGAGAAACTCATGATAAATACTGCATTTGGAGACAAAAAATATAACAGTACATCTCTTGTGAAAATAAATACGATAAATGAAATAAAGTATAAATAAGGTCTTATTTATTTATATATATATATGAAAATTACTTTAAATAACTTCATCACCTGATTCCGATGATCGCTGGTCTGTCTCATCTTCATTCTCCAACTGCTGTGTTAATGCCTCCTTATAATTTTCTACTAGTCCAGATTCATTGCCTTTTTGGCCATTGTCACTAATCTGGCTCTCTGTCTCTATTTGCTCATGCTCCATTTTATGTTTCAGGTGGCAGCCATCACTGACTTTCTCCATGTTTTGCTTCTTTTTCTCTTTTTCAAGTTTTTTTTCATTCTAACAACAACAACAACAACAACAAAACCCTATTATCTTTATTATCATGTTTATATCTAAGATAGTTTTAAGGAAGAAATCAAATAACCTAACAACATTCTGTAACAACATTCTGTAACAACATTCTGTAACTTCAATGACATTCTAAGGTTTCTATTTAAAAAATTGTTGAATGTATCATTAAAACATGTTAATTGCCAAATATTCAGTAAACATATAAAGTGAAACAAAAGAATACAAATATTATCGGTAATTTCACAATCTAGAGATGACCACTATTCGGTGTATGATCACTAAGAGGCGTTTTTCTCTACCTATCCCCACACACATACAGACATACACCACCTATAAACAGACATAAAGGTAATTGTCTCTCTCTATATACATATTTACGTATTGGTTTCTTTTTGTTTTTTTGTTTTGAGACAGAGTTTGCTCTGTCACCCTGGGTAGAGTGCAGTTGCATCATTGTAGCTCGCTGCAACCTCAAACTTCTGGGCTCAAGTAATCCTTTTGCCTCAGTCTCCTGAGTAGCTCAGACTACAGGAGCATGCCAGGATACTCAGCTAATTTTTCTGTTTTTAGCAGGGACGGGGTCTCACTCTTGCTCAGGCTAGTCTTGCACCCTACGCCAATGCACCCAGCCTTATATTTGTTTGTTGTTAAAACAAAAAAGAATTGAAGTTTTTATTTAAGAATATAAACTTTCCATGTCAATGAATATACAAAGTGCTTAGAATAGTGCCTCAAAATACTATGCGTTAGCTACTATTATTTTCATCAATTATATTATCACTTTGAATGGTTAAAGCATAACTTATTTCTAACTTATTTTATCAATTCTCTATCAGTGGACAACAAATTTACTTTTTCAGTTTTTCACGATTACAAGAAATACAATCATCCTATTAGTTTTTTTAAGATTACATTATTAACAACAGAACTGTTGGAATGTAACATATATTCACAAACTTCCCTTCAGAAAAACTAAATTAATTTATACCCCCAGGTAAAGGGTTGGGAAGGTGATTTTTCTCTACATTGTTCTCTGCATATCATTAATGACCTTTTAAATCTCTGACAAATTAATAAATAACCATGTTTACCTTAGTGTTGTTTTAGTTTAATTTAAATTTTTTTATAGTTACTATCAAAGATGAACTATTAAATACCCTTATTGCCATTTTTATTTTTTATCTAAAGAACTGCCTGTGATAACCCAAGGCCCACTTTTCTGTTAGATTCTCATTATTTTTATGGTAATTTGAAAGGGTTCTTTGGTTTGTCCTATGTATCACTAGGACCAGTCTCATAGTCACATAGAACTACGTGTCCTATGTGTCCTATTTTCCACTAGGGTTTGTTATCCTTGTTTTCATTTTTGCTTTGTAACTTTGTAGAATAGCTCTTTTAAAACTGAATACTATAAGATTTTTTCACTCTATGATTGTGGCTTGACTCTCCTGCTTTTAAAGTTTTCCCACCTCTAAGCACATATAAATATTTAACTCCATTATCTACTAGTATTTTTAAGGCTTTACTTTTTTAATACATTTAAGTCTTGGATATTTCCAGAACTTAATTGGATATACAGTTTTCAATGATTTTACTTTTTTCCAAGTGGTTGTTCATATTCTTTTCTCTCAGGTGTGAAATGTTACCTTTATCTTATACTAAATGCTCATGTATTGTTAGGTTTATTACTATTTGTTCCACTGATCTGTCTATTCTGGAACCAATACCTCACAATCATTTACCAATTTTATTATCTGTGGTAAAAATCAAAGGAATGGTAGGTGCTTCTGTACAATGCAAACATACCAAAGGAAAAGTTTGATGGAAAAAAGAAAATTTGCATGATGAAAAGGAGACTGTCAGTAATTTGTTTTCATTTCTTTACTGACCATCTTCTTGAAAGTATTGTATTTTAAAAGCATAATAATTATACTTCCCCCGTGCCACTTACTAATTCAGGGACTTTCTGTGCATGGTATACTATGCTGTACACCAGTATTGTTCACTTCTTTATATTGTGAAAAATACAATGCTGGGACAAGGGCCTTTTCAGTGATTTATACCCATGGTACTATAAAATAAACAGTCATTCACAAAGCAAGATTTATTATATACTTAAGAGTAAATTAATGTTTCGAAGTGGAAAGCAAAACTTGATTTCCTTCTTTCTATCAATATTTTTAAAAGAACCTAAAACAAAACTTGACAAACATAATTTTTGATAGGATTTTTGATAGGAGACAAAACAATAGCTCGTGCTATTAAGATGGTTTCACTATATTCAGAAAAGCACATATTTAGGGTGATCCTAATAGGATTAATGAAAGATTGAATACAATTAAGCTTCTGATATCTAAGCAACTTAAGACCAAGTATCTCATATTACCAATTATTTTGCAAAATAAAGCAATACCAAACTATCCAATCATCTTCTTACCTGCGGAGCTGCCTCCCTCCTCAGCAGCAGCTCCAAGGAAGAAATAATCATACACCTTTCCAGATGAGCACCTGTGTGGAAGGAGGCAGCGACAGGGGAAGAGGAATGGAGAACACACCAGCTTCCACAACAGGCTCTGAGAAATGAAGGAAGTTAGGAAGCAGTGCCTTGGAGGAGGCATGGTACTGAGAGCCATTAAGCAGAGCCCGTGCAAACTCTGGACACCAGCAGAAAATGAAAACAAAGACAGACACGCACACACAAACACACATACAAACACACACACACACTTAAGTTCTTCATAATTAAAATCTACACATAAATGTTGGTGAAGTTTCTGATGATTTAAAATTAAAATAAATGGTATTCAGATATAGGAGAATTTTTTGCCATCTCAAACATTCTTTCTTTATGTTAAAATTTTACTTAAACTGGTACAAGCACCATGCTTACAAAAGACTGTCCAAAATAAACATGCAATATGAACTAGCGGAGACTGAAACTACAGCTTAAGAAGTTGTGCCAGTTGTTGGTTTTGTTAAATGATGTCAAGTAACTGTTAAAATTCACAAGACTAAACCATTAATTTTTCAAGCCTCCTGAATTATATTAGACCATCTAAGTCAGTGGGAATGATTAGATGCCCTGGAATGTTCAAGTAATTATATGTGTATTAATTATATTCCTAAAAGCAAGAAAATACAGTTTCTATGACAAGTTTAATGTAGTTGTTTTAACTATTACAGGAATATGATTACTGATTGGAAATGTCAAATGGCATCAAAACAAATTTCTTAAGAATATTCCATTTGGGACCATTGGTTTTAAGTGGTCTAGAATATTATTTATTATATTCTTCAGAAATACAAAATAAGATTTGCCCAGAAATGTTTGAAATATGCCTCACCCAAGTTATAAAGGCTCAAATTCTATATATTCTAGTATTATTAGTCTAATGAACAAATAGGGAAAGCAACAATATTAAGAATATTTGAATTGATGAGTTACTACTCTACTTCTACCAAATATCAGCATTTAAACTTTTATGAAAATATCTATTTGTCACTAGTCCACATATGGATTAATGACATCATTTGGGTTTTAAAAGTAGTCCAAACATTTTTTAAGAACACCTTCCTTAATATCTGTATGGGTGGGATCAAACATTTATAAGTATCATGGGAAAACAGAAATATATTTATGAACTTGGGCAATAGCAAGATCCGTCTCTATAAAAAATAAAAACATTAGCCGGGTGTGGTGGCACATGCCTGTAGTTCCAGCTACTAGGAAGGCTGAGGCAAAAGACTCACTCTGAACCCCATGAGTTTGAGGTTGCAGTGAGCTATGATGATGCCACTCCACTCTAGCACGGGCAACAGAGTGAGACCCTGTCTCCAAAAAACAGAAAAAAGAAAAGGAAAAAAAAAAATTGTTTATGTACTCTAATGCATTATAAACATATAAAGATTGTTGCAAAGGGACAATAAGATCAATACAGAAAGAGACCATGTAAACAAGAGTAAATATATTACTGTCACATGACAAAAATGACAAAAATAGATTTATCAACATAGCAACTATAATAATTGCCATAGTCAACCTTTATTTTCATTGTCATTTAATTCTGAAGTCATATTTCCCTTTTTACACTAGATAAAAAGGTAAATTGAAGAGGAAAAAAAAAAGCAGTAAACCTTTCATCAGTCTCTCACCTTTACTTTCTTTTAGAAATAATCTCTGGAGAATGACTTCTATTTTCCCTGCCTCCTTTCTCAACTCCCCACCGCCTTTCCCAAATTCCAACTTCATAATTTAAGATATAAAAATTACATTTGTCACCATTCATACCTCAGTGATTACAGATGCTATCGGCTGGAAAGGATTCATTGGTTCTGGGTCCAACTCGGCCAAATCACTGGTTCCATTGAGTTCAGCCTGCTCTTCTTCTCTTTGTTTTCTATTGTTTGAGGAAAAAAATTGAAATTTCTTTTGATAAAATGTTGAGCCACGTTTAAGAAAATTTGCAATAGGTTTCAGGGTATTAAACTTAGTAATTTAAACACGTAGACATGGCTTTTAATTATTGAAAATATTTCAGAAATCTTTATGTAGGAAATATGCGTCTAGCCCCATGTAAAGATTAATCATTTGAATTTTTTAAGAAAGAAATGCTGACAAAAATGATATTTCCTATGATTGACTTCTTAATGTCAGTGGTGAAAATTAATTATTTTTCTATGTGCCAAGGATGTATACTGATCAATTTATTAATTACCCTCTAAATATCAATGCTATCCTCTTTACTAGCGTTAACAAATAAAGAAGTACTCTTATTAACACCCTTCCTAAGGGTTATGTCTTCTCTTGTAAAATAAAACTGGGAAAACATTCTCTTAATTCAATCTAGGCTTTGATTTCTACACAAATATGTTTCTTATTTATTATACAGAAATAAAAGAGCACAACATCTACAGATTGATTCTCTAGAAGTACAGATCAATAATAATATAAAATGATATATTTTATCAAGTTGTGTATCATATTTGAACAACAAGATAACTGTTGCTTTGCATAATAGTATAAGAGGCTATAAAAATAAGTTTGCCTTGTATCATTCAGATTAAATAATTCCATATTAGTTACCACTGAAACATTTATTATCTCTGTGATTTATAGTTAATGTTCTCCCATACATGAAGAGTAGTAAGTTACTAAAACAAGCCACCAAAGACAGAAAAATGAGTACTGTGGATCTTCAACTAGATTATAAGTACAGTACAGCAATGTGGATGTTCACTGCCATGACATCAATTAACTCTGTTCTAGATGGACATATATATCCTTTTATTCTGAACCTAGGAAGCCAAGATTTGGAGATTTACAAATCTTTGGACCTAGATTTTGGGGCCTCAGCTTTCCTACAGATGTGGATAAAAATAACCACTTCATAGGACTGTCTCAAGGATCAGATAAAGTAATATATGTGACAATACTCTGTACATGAACCTACTCATAGGACAATCATTGTTATTACTGTTAACTCATTTATTGGTAAGCAGTTTCAGGTATATAGTATTAATATACTATTTTCACGTAGCATATGTTGTATGGTTTTTCAAAAACATTGGAAATGACTATCTGAACCAATCAGATTTAGTAAAGTAAAAAGGTTGTTTTTAATCACTCTTCTCTGAATATCAATTTACTTTTAATTACGGAATATCAGCTCAACAGGAGAAGTCTCAGACTACAAATGGGATGCCTAGGGAGAAAGAAGAAAAGGGGAATGAATATTGGAAAAGCCTGCCATGCATGATCTAGAATATCATTATAGGAAAGGCAAAAACTAAAAAAATTAGTATTATTAAATTTCTTTTATCTAACTCATTTTTTGTTGCTTTTTTTCTTTTAATAGAAAAAAGCAAAGGAGTTTTCAGGAAAGTGTGGTCATATATTTAATTTTTATAAATATATAAAAGGTATACTTACATGAATAATTGGTTATATTGAGCTTTAGCTTTAAAAATCATGAAAATACACACTAGGATTGAAAACCAAAGACTTTCCAAAACCTCATATTGGTAGACACCAAAACTACTTACCCCATTCTTTCTTTGATATCAAGAGAGACCTATTTGAAAGACATGCTCATCATATTGAATGTTTGGGGGGTGAAGAGTTATCTCTATAAATATTTCTTCCCTTTAACTCCTACTTCTGAAAAATGCCAGTTCTCAGAGCATTTCCTCCATACTATAAGGAAGCACCTCACAAAGGGATCACCAAGAGTAGTGGGTTCTTGCCTTTTGGGCAGTAACTACATTAAATCACATAAAAGGCCAGTATTACTCAGGTAGATGAAAGGCAACTTTGGATCTGACTTTGCTTGAGTTGAATGATGCTCTAATAGCTCACCTTCTATCTTTGCTGAGACTAAAGAAGTTCCTCATTGTCAACACTATTCACATACTGAACCAGATAATTCCTTGTTGTGGAAAACTCTCCTGTGGATTGTAGGATGTTTAGCAGCAGCCCTGTCCTCTACTCACCAGATGCTAGTAGCATTCTACCTCTCCCCCCAGCTGTGAATTAAAACTGTCTCCAGACATTGACAAATGTTCCCTGACAGGCAAAATCACCCTGTACATTGAGAACCACTGTATTAACGGTACCCATAAGAAATAAGAGATAAATATTTAAAACTCTTGGAAATTATTACTGCATAAGAGTAAATTTAATTACTATAATACCAGCAAGAAAATTAGAAATCTATCACCCAAACTTGCATAGAAAAAGAGCCATAAAAATAGAAAATTTACTGGTGTCTTCCTTTGTACAGAAAGAGGAAATTGAATAGATAAAACTAGCAAATCATTCATAAAATTATCCTGCTTTTGACTCTTCAAATGCACTGTGGTACAAAATTAATCTACTTACCTTTCTTCTTGTAATTTTCGCACTCGTTCAGCCCTTTCGCGTTTCTCTTGTTCCTCAAGAGCACGCTGCTCTGTTGTATCTTTTTGGATGCGTTCATTTAAGGCCTCAAAGTCTCTTGCAATAATATGTAGCAGCCAATAAAGGCCCTTTTTAATGGACTTGTCAATTTTCTTTCCATATCCCAAGACTGCTGAACAAGGTTCCTAAAACAGAAATTTATTTGACTTAAAGATTAAAAGTTCTCCACACAAATATATCCATAAACCATTCAGTATAATTACTAGCAAATCAAAATTAAGCCATTTAAATTAATGATATGGAGCATCTGCTTATTTAACTTAGAAAACATACCTTCGCAATGATCACCAACTTCAGTACCTTAGAATGGAAATATTTTACAAATATCTGTAAGCTACTAGAGACATTTTCACAGAAGAAGTTGACACTGCTAGTTATAATTTTAAACAAGCTTATAGAAAGACACAATTGAACTACCATAAGAAAAATTCCCCGGAAGTTTTAATCCCTTATACTAAAATTTACAGCAGTAAACATTCATAAGACTGACAGCTTAATGATCATTTTATGAAACTAGAATAAATGATTAAATCCCTTGTCTATCTTCCTTAAGACTGTGTGACTTTCCCTTTCTGTAATAGTAAAAGCCAGTATTTAACATTTATTCATTATTAAAACATTTGGAAGGTATCAACTTGTGAAAAGAAAGTGGTTGGCTTGGGGTTAGAAGAAATTGAATGGAATCTGATGGCTGGGAATGGTGGAAATTGGAAAGATACAAGTAGGTGTTTTTAGAGGGTTGATAGCATGGCTTATTTTGTAAACAAAACACTAAGCATTGCCTGGGGAAAAAAAAGACTATGTGACAACTCTCCTGATATGATTTTTCAAAACTCATGATAAATCTCTACTAATTATACTTTTTTTTTTCAATCTTACAAAGTTCATACCATGATGGGTATAGCTATAGATTCTGTCAGGCAACATCTTAAACAAAAAACAAATGTGCGCCGGGCGCGGTGGCTCACGCCTGTAATCCTAGCACTCTGGGAGGCCGAGGCGGGCGGATCGTTTGAGCTCAGGAGTTCGAGACCAGCCTGAGCAAGAGCCAGACCCCGCCTCTACTAAAAAAAATTAGAAAGAAATTAATCGGACAACTAAAAATATATATAGAAAAAATTAGCCGGGCATGGTGGCGCATGCCTGTAGTCCCAGCTACTCGGGAGGCTGAGGCAGAAGGATCACCTGAGCCTAGGAGTTTGAGGTTGCTGTGAGCTAGGCTGACGCGACGGCACTCACTCTAGCCCAGGCAAAAGAGTGAGACTCTGTCTCAAAAAAAAAAAAAAAAAAAACAAATGTGAAAATCTTTGAAACCATGGAAGGATAGTTCATGGAAGTCAGTAACAATCAAATAGAAAATAAGTATTACGGTAATGAGTCACATCAATAGAACAGTGACAGTATGATTTCCTGGGTGAAGAAAAAAAAATTCTTTGAAAAACTGCTTTCTAACTGCTATTACCTTTATAAAAACTAAGTTATACTAAACCTATTTCAAAGGGCAGAAAAAAAATAAAACTTACTATCTGACATAGGCACTTGTGCTCATTGACCAATTTTTCCAGCGACAGACATTCAATCACATCAGCTTCTCCTAAAGCCCCTTCCTTGTCTTGTTTATTTGCCAACCTAGAAAGACAAATGAAGTAATTTTAGAGCAAATATATAATCTGATGGCAACTTAAAGATACTTTGACCACATTCTTCTATTCCTAAGTTTTAAATCTACTGATTACAGAACACATTGGTTTTAAAAATTATTGTAGTACCAATTTCATCATTTTCCTTTATTTATTATTGCTAAAATAAAATTGGTCTATAAAAGGGAAATCAGATAAAAGGAAGTGTCAAGAAAGCATAAGCAATAGATCAATAGGCCAACAAAAAAGCTACAAAACAGAAAAAAAAGTGGACTCTTTTCTACAACTCATAGCCATAAATTATGTCTTTATCTCCTTAAAATACAAAGTGTATTATTTTTTAAATGCTCAAATATTGATTCTGAGCTTGTAATATTTGAGCTTATCTACATTTCTAACGTGTGAATGTGCCCATGTAAACGTGCAACTTACTGAAGACACTAGATCACTTTTTATTTATTTGACACAGCACTGGGCATAAAAAAAATAAAGAAAGAAAGAATTACACTCAATTATGGACAAACAAGAGACCAAAAAAAGAAAAACCAAAATAAGTTCTAAAGAAAAACAGGAATTATCGCAATATACCACTATTTGCCTATCACATGACATAGGTCAAAAAGTTTAATAAAATAATGTCTTGGTCAAGGTTTGATAAACTCTTTAGGCAAAAATATATATTTTTAAATAAATAGAATAATAAATATAATGAATCCCTATCACTTTTCTTTAAAAATTATCAACACTGTGTCATTCTTGCTCATCCACATACCTTCTGCTTTTCCCTCAGTCATATTATTTCACCCAAAAGTTAAAAAACATTACCATAATACCACTATTCCAGCTAACAAAATTAACAGTAAGTCTTCAGTATTACTTAAGTCACTCAATATTCCCCAATATCACTTTGCAAGTGTTATGTTCAAATTCAAATCTAAACCAGATACGCATTACATATAATTTATTACTTACCTCTTTTTGGAACTGTATTATCTACCCTTCCTGCCCTAACACCACCACCCCTTTTCCTCCCATGACTTTTATTTGCAAAATAAAATAGTCATTTTTCTTTAGAATTTCCCATGTTTGGGATTTGGCTGATATCTTCCTCATGAGCTCATTTAACATACATATCCTGTATTTCCTGTACCTGGTAGTTAGATATAGAGGCTGGATGAATTTCAGATTGAAATCTTTTGACAAGTGTATTTCATAGGTGGTACTGGTACTTAGGAGGCATATAATATCACTTTTATATAATATTCTATTTCAGTGATATTAAAATTTATCAGTAGATTTAGAGTCAGCCTGATCCATCCAAAATAAAGTTCCTCATTAACCTTTCACCTAATGGTTTTAGCAGTAATTGATGACCTTTGCTTAATTCCATTATTTTATAAGAGTTTATGAAATAGTGACTTTTCCACTTCTGTATTTCTTCTGCATTTACTAGCAGGATTTTTGCTAAAAAATATACTTTTATCAAGTAGTTGATGATTCTTACAATTCATAGAGAAAAGTCAAGATAAATATTTGATCCTTTACCTTTATTTGCTAATTTTCATAATAATGAATTGGTGTTCTAGCAACCTCCAAAGGTGATCAAATTGCTTTGTTGTTTTGTCTTATTTTGGGGGTTATCATTATGAACTCATGGATTTAAAAAATATATCTGATATGTTTCAGTTTATTGCAGTTATTGTTCTTTTTGAGGCTCAAAGAACAGGAGTCCCCTTCAGATGGGCGCCTGGGTCATTTTGGTACAACTCCAACAGTCTTTGATAGCTTCTTTGCTTTCTACCATGAAACAAGGTTCCAGACCTAGAATCATCCATTTCCTTAAGGAGCCCTAGTCCTTTCAGAGGGAAATGGTATTTTAAAGACCATAGGCTGGGCCGGGAGCAGTGGCTCATGCCTGTAATCCTAGCACTCTGGGAGGCAAGGTGGGAGGATTGCTTGAGCCCAGGAGTTCAAGACCAGCCTGAGCAAGAGCGAGATGCCGTCTCTACTAAAAATAGAAAGAAATTGGCCAAACAACTAAAAATAGAAAAAATTAGCCAGGCATGGTGGCATGTGCCTGTAGTCCCAGCTACCTGGGAGACTGAGGCAGGAGGAATGCTTGAGCCCAGGAGTTTGAGGTTGCTGTGAACTAGGCCGACACCACTCTATTCTAGCCGTGTCAAAAAAAAAAAAGAAAAAAATAGTTATAATAAAGACCATGGTCTGGTCTTTACGGATATACATTGCCATTGACTTGCCACTGCTGCCAGACCTTTTCAGTGCACAAAGCTAGGAAATCGTTTTTTTTTTTAAAAAAGAAAAACTTAAATCATTGAGTTCATATCGATCCTGAGTTCATATTGATTTTCACATTTCAAATAAATATTACCAAGTTTTGACTTAGCTTCTTATTTTTTTCTTTTTTTTTTTTGACACGGCTAGAATGCAGTGGTGTCATCATAGCTCACCATAACCTCAAACTCCTAGGCTCAAGCAATCCCCCTGCCTCCACCTCCTGAGTAACTGGGACTACAGGCTCGTGCCACCACACCCGGCTAACTTTTTTACAAGGTCTCACCATATTGCTCAGCTGAACTCCTGGACTCAAGCACTTCGGTGTTCCAAGGTGCTAGAATTACGGGCATGAGTCATTGCTCCCTGCCTTAAATCTTATTTGTATCTCTTTTTACTTACGCTGAAAGTTACAGTTCCTAATGGCATTAACTATTTTCTTTATCCAACTATATATAGTAGTTTCAACAAATACGTTTCAACATATTTATTCCTAAATATGCTTATTTACATATTTAAGTACTTATTTGATATTAATTTGATATTTATTTTTTTACATATTTATTCCTAAAGACTGCTAAATTTAAGTTAAGATCTCTTTGTGGTTATTTTTGTCCTAAGATATAGTCTACTAGAGATGCACAATGGAAATACTGAGTTTTAAAATCACTTGAAATAATACTTTTCCATATGGTTATGTCACCATCAAGATCTATAGGTAGGTTGTTTCTGGGTGCTTTTGCTTTTTAGAGATAGTTTGTTTACTTTTTAAGATTTAATTTCTAAAATAGTTGTATGGTTCCAAATTCAAAACTATAAAAAAGATACAATCAGAAAGAACTATTTGCCATCTCTGCACCCTTTCTTGTCCCTTGTCCTATAGGTAACCACTTTCATTAGTGTTTAGTTCATCCTCCCATTATTTCTTTTTGAAAATATAAACAAGTGTATGGGGGAAATGGTATTTTAAAGACCACAATTTGGGTACTAAGGATATTCATTGCTATTGACTGGTTTATGTATAATATTTATATCTACCTCCCTTTCTTCCTCAAAAGCTAGCATACTATATACTCTTCTGTACTATCCTTTTTTTTAACTGAATAGTAAATCCTGAAATTATACTGAAGCAGTATAAACAAATCTTCTTTATTATTTTCTACAGTTGCAAAATGCTCCACTGTATGGATCTTCCATCATTTACTCAGCCAGTTCTACACTGAAGGACTTTTGCGTTTCTCGTGTTTTGTTTTTACAAAAGAGTGTTGTGAAGAACAAGTGTGTGAAGGAGTCATTTTTTATTTCGGGAACAGCTTCCAGCAAGTGGAACCATTAAATCAAAGAATAAACATATTTTGACAAATACTATAGCAAAGTCTTTCCCCTTGCCTTCAAATAATAACCACAAAGAAAAAAAGGAAGTGATCTGGAATTTGGTAGTATGAGAGAAATTTTCATTTCTGATTTTCCCTATAAACATTTCCCTCTGGTAAAAAATAATTTTTTTGAATTGTTATATTGATATAATAAATAGATGGTTTAACAATACAATTATTGCTGTATAATTTTAGTTCTTCTATACAGAAAACCATAGAAAAAATTATTTTAAAATAAAAATAGCAGATGTAGTAGAAAGAAAATAGGGTGGAAGATTTAAAGACATGAGCTCAGCCAGCGCAGCGGCTCACACCTGTAATCCTAGCACTCTGGGAGGCCGTGGTGGGAAGATTGCTTGAGGCCAGGAATTTGAGACCAGCCTGAGTAAGAGCAAGACCCCATCTCTACAAAACATACAAAAATTAGCCAGGTGTAAAGGCATGCACCTATCGTACCAGCTAGCCAGGGACTCAAGTAAGACTCTGTCTCCCCCCATCAAAAAAAAAAAACAAGCGGGACATGAGCTCTTTTCTGGTTGTTCTACTTCTGAAATTCTGTGATTTTATGAGCTAAGCTCTTATGGGATTTCCTAAAATAGGACAAAATTCAATCATTTTAAAGAAAATGGAACAAAAAGCTTTTATACCAAGCTTCTGTCCATTCTGATTTATTCTTATTTAATTCTGTATTTTTAGCAAGCTTTGAGATCCATAGAAAAGAAAGTAACCTTCGTTTAAATGCAAACCCATTTTTTGGAGTAATGTATTTTATATATAATGTAGAACTGGATTTGCAGAGCTTGTGCCAAATACTCTATGTAGGCAGATTAACAATGACTTCCTGTTACCAACCAGCTCCAACGAAAATGATCTTCCTTTAATCTAAAGAACAGGTGTATAACAGGCAGAACCGGATTCTCTGGGTGTGAAGTAAGCAATCTGTTCTCATTTGCTATTAACAGCAAGAGCACAACTTTATCTCTTAACTTATTTGACTTCATTATTTGGCTTTCGATTAACAATATGAACGCCGTACAGAAATTAGCCTGTGACCTATAAGATAGAGATTTAAGTAATTTGATGAAAACATTACATGAGATGATATTCAGATTTTCTCTCAAGGCAGGACTCCAACACCGCAGGTGGAAAACCAACAAAAGGAACAAGACAGAAAGGTACTGTCTTTTTGTATTTTCTAATGTGAGATATCCATAGACTGAAATCTGCTTATAGTGTACATTTAAAAATAGCTCAACAGATAATGAAAGTTACTTGTTTTGCTCAGATTTGGACAGAGCTATAGGCAGCTGATTTGTTCATATATACTACTTACACACTGACTGGGATTTGGGTGTAAAACTCTTGAAAATAGACCACTACCACAAAAATCAACTTTAGGGGAAAGAAACTTTTTTAAGTTCTTTAAAAAGTAATTTCTCATTTTGTTAACACTAGAAAGTCAGATCCTATGAAAACAAACCTAAAATTCTTCCTTTTATAGACAGACTATAAATTAACCATACTGTGCTTACTTTAGACAACACTTTTACATTTAACTCTGAAAAGAAGCTTACACCCAAATTTGGCACATATGTAAAACCTTTAAAGTTGAGATAATTTTGTATATGGTCTTAATTAATTGCTTCATTGTTATTTCCCAGAATCTTCTAAAATTAATTTGAGGAAATTAGAAAATGATCTTGTTGTAAAAGGATTAGTCAGTCATTTTTTTAATGTTTCTGTGAGTATGTTAAAATATCAAAATACTCAGTGATTGTTTTAATGTTTCAGCCAATATATCAAAAATATTTAAATTATATAATTTAACATAAACATTGTATTGATGTGATAGTTTGAAAAATTTAAGTCAGTATCATGTAATGAAACATATAGATAGGTCAGGTCCTTTCAAAGTTACCATGTTAGAATTTAACAAATATTCCATTTCAAAATAAAATAACAATAATTTCTGCAAGTGTTTTAAGGGTGGATTTGAGAATTGGCCATGTAATACGTAGAAAATACTATCTTCATGGCTATGTAGCATTAAATTTAATATAAAAATCATTTTATGTATGTACAGCTCATTTGAATAAGTGAAAATTCAAAAATTATACATCTTATATTTACCAAAAAAAGATCTTAAATTAAACAAGTCAATGTAATACCTTCTTTACACTAAAAGTAAAAAAAAGCTTTGAAAGATTGCATTAAAAAATTTTAGAGAATTCAAAATCAGATAATATATGCAACCTGTAATAATTTTTTAGTTTGTTTTTAGAAGCCACTATTTTGCCCTTATTTATAACCAAAGAGGTTCATATTACATTAAGATCCTCTGTTTTATACCTGAATTAGGGAAATGTTACAAGTTGACTTCACATACAAAACAAAAGAATATTTTATGTTGGGTAAAACCTGGTTTTATTTATTGAAATATTTTATTTAATCAACATAGTAACTATACAATATAGCTTACTTAAAAAAATAAAATAAAAAATCTATAAATACATTAAGTATCTATCCCAGGGCATATTTCTTAAAACATTAGGTAATTTTTATTCATGTTTCCATTTCTAGGAATTTTCACTGTCTGTAGTAGGGTGAAGAATATTTGAGTCACACAAGTTTACTTTTCTATTTCCCAGAACAAATGTCAAAGTTGATTATAATATGTACAAATTAGTGTTTTAACTTTCTTTTTTCAAATATCATGTTTAAGCTCAAAGATACTGTCAATTATTGCTAGTGAAATTCAAAACTGAATAGCAATGCTGGAAGCTAAACATACTGAAAGATGATTCATATTTGTATAAAACTCTTCCAACATTAAGAAAATAAATTTAAGGTATAGAAAAGACTGCATAAAATAGTGATCTCATCAATTTCACCTAGTCTAAGCAATTTAATGATTTCACAACTATAAGGTTCACATTTTATGCCTACATGAACTCTGTCTCTTCCAACTTTTGAATTATAATATGCTTAGATGTCTCACTTTGCCTAATATTCTAATTTCTGAAGATATGAGATCAAGAAGTTAAACTGGAAAGTTATACATACAGTTATGAGCATGCAACTACTAGAAAATGCAATTTATATACAGCACATAAGTGCATCTGAGTAGCTACATTAAGTAAATTTCCGCACAGATGAACAAGGATTTGGGGGAACATTCTGAACTATGTTAACTCTGCAAAGATAATCAACTATGACTATGATGCACAGACATAGAAATTGCTCTCTCCTGCTCTAAATATACAGAAATGTATGATATAATACTAAATTTAAAAGAAGAAACTTTTAAACTACATCATTCAATTTTAAAGTAAGAACATGAAATTTCCAGGTGCCAGAAATGAAGAGAAAACATACTTACAGCCAATGTGAAAAGAAGTAATTAAAACTAACTCCACTGGGCTACCAGAAGCAAATATTTTACCTTCTAAAGCTAAGGTTTACAATTTGTGCGTTATAAGGAACTACTAGAAAATTGAGTTTCCTAGATGAAGTAGTGAACCTAAGAAAAACTAAACAATCTGTACACAAAGACAGGAATACCTCTGTTGACTTGCCCAGGATTACAGCAGGAAGTCAGATATCTACTCAGACTATAAAAATCACTAGAGAAAAATGAGACTTATATTTACACTACCTGGGTTACAAAGGGCAAACTCCATGGGGCCCTAGTAGTAACAGCAGCAAAAAAAGCCTCAGAATATATCCATAATTTAGCAGGGGACTCAGAAAATTTCTGTATAATACTCCAATAAAGATAAACTACTGATAAAGTTCACCAAATATACTTGCCCACCTCCAAGAGAGTGGCCCCAGTGAGTGGCTATAGCAAACAAAGGAATTTTATTCCTGAGAAACCAGAAATAACTTAATAATGTACAAGATCTTTAGCATAAATATACTCTAAATGTTCAAAAGAAATAAATGAAGATATAGGATCCATAAACCAAGATGAACATAGTATAAATTTTATATTTGACTTTAAACATCATTTATATCACATGCATGCCATGACATAGAACTGTGAAAGGAAACCCTATTCTATTTCCAAGTTTTTGCTTTAATATCAACAATACGTGGATATCTAAAAAAAAAAGCAGAATATTTGGGGTTTTTTTTGCTGGTAATTTGATTAAGATTAATGAATACAAAATACACGTTAATATATTTTAAAAAGTTCCTTAAAATAACTTTTATTCAAATATAAAAGTGTGGTACTCCTTCAGGGAACTGTTCTTCCAAGGACAAAAAGGAAAAGACAACCTTTATAGGGGTCAGAGTCAAATATTCTGGTTTCTAAAATCAGTTGCAGTAAAATTCACCTTCCCAAAGGCACTTTGCAAAGGTATACTGTGTTTCAATATCAATTTAAAATATTCTATTTCTTAAAAAAATTTTTTTAAACTATGATGCTTCAATAAAAAACTTTTGGTGACATTGATAATTTATTTCTAATTTTTAAAATACAAAGACCTATCCAGTCATAAAAATGTTAGTTTAGACGGCGTTCTTTCAGGATTTATTCCAAACCATGCAACCAAAGAGAAGGTTCAAGATGTTGTAGTTCTTGAGAAATGTGACATTCAAAGATGGTTAAAAGCTACTTTTAGCCATTATATAAACATGAGATAGGACTTAGTTCTCATGAATACAAAATCAAAATCTGTTTTGTCTAATAGTGGTTTCTCTCTCTCTCTCTCTCTCTCTCTCCTCTTTCTCCCTCTGCTAAGTTTCTAACACTGTTACTCTTTCCTTTCCCCATAATATCAGGAGCACAAGTCAGTTAAAAAAAATAGTATATCTGATTTGAACATTGTAGCTATTATGTACTGAGTCTTAGGAATAGGCAGGCATGGTGGCACATGCCTGTAGTCCCAGCTACTTGGGAGGCTGAGGCAGGAGGATCACTTGAGCCCAGGAGTTTGAGGTTGCTGTGAGGTAGGCTGATGCCATGGCACTCTAGCCTGGGCAACAGAGTAAGACTTAAGTAGAAAAAAAAGAAAAAAAAAAACCATAGTAGCCATAAGAATTCACAGGGACAAGTTAGTGCAAGAGTAGGAAATTGAAATCTATGTACATAAATAGGAATGAAGTGCACCTCACTTCCCATCTATCCTATTTCAGATTATAACTATGACCTGAAGCAGAAGAAAATATCAGAATCCCAATCTCCACATGGTGCCAAGGATAAGATTTAAAATTTCTTAGAAACTGTCTGTGACATAGGTCAGTAAGATCCAAACTAATTCTTTTTCTTCTATATTGTACAGTGATCGATTTGATCTGATTATATTAAAGATCCTAATAAGGTTGCAAACAACAGAATTATTTTAGATCTGATATGCTGTATTATCTCCTGCTAGAATCTTTTTCTCTTAAATACATGTTTATACTAATAACATAATACAACATTTGTTATAGATCAACTTCACTTGTAGTACATTTCACTAGGATAATCTATATTTTTACTCACTACAGAATAGGGGAAAGAGAATAGATTTGCAATCAGGTAAACATATCTAAAGTAGGCTCTTGTCACTTATAAGTTGAATGGCCTCTGGTAAGTCACTTTAAAATTCCCCTTATTTGGATGTTGGCTTTATTGGATTGAACTGTTCCTTTAATTTTTCTTAGTGTATGAAAAGTAAAGAAAATGGAGAAGATAAAGTCCTTAAAGAAATTATACCAAAAAACAAAAACAAAACCCCAAAACCCTAAATACCTAAATACTTGAGTTTCCAGAATGAAACGACTTACTAAATGTGTAGAAAATAAACGCAAAAGACTCATCCCAGGTCACATTATTCTAAAATTTCAGAACACCAGGAATAAAGAAAAAAGGCCAAGAATTTCATGAAAGGAAATACAAAAACAGGTTTTATGCAAAATATCAGGAATCAGATGACAGATTTCTCAAGGGCAACAAAGCTAGAAGACAAAATAGCAAAACTTTCAAAATTTTAAGGGAATATAATTTCTTAGTGAAAATTATATGCACAGGAAATATATTATTCAGGTATAAGGGTAGAATAAAAGCATTTTCAGAAATGCAAATTATTATCACATTTACATTTTGAAAGGAAGCTATGTTATACTCCTAAATCAGAGGACAAACCAGGAAAGAAGATGAGAAACCAAAGTCAGGAGACAATATAAA